GCGGAGAGGATGAGGGAGGATAAACACTTGACACACAGATAACCTTCGGTGAGAGCATGCACAGCTTGGAGCTTAACCGTATCTCAACTGAGACAGGTGACCAAAGAAACAATGGAGAGAAAAAAATACTAAGGGAAGGAGTGAAAGCCTCCACAGAGAAGAATTTTTTTATTCTTACCTATGATGGGAGCCAAGCGGAAAATGTCAGACAGACGGCTGTTCACGGGTTCATACGGAGAATCCTCCAAGAAATCATTACCTGTGAGGAAGATAACCACATTAGATAGATAGACAGATAGATATGTTTTGAACCCCCTCCTGTTTTCTTTATCATTCTTCACCCCTCACACTGGTTTGCATGTGACATGGGTTATTTGGGTCAGTCAATATCCACGCTGGCACACAGCCACACGCTTGATTAGGCAGGTTGGTCAGCTGTGTTGCACAACTGGAAGTCGACACACTGGCAATGGGCTGGATGCAGTTTAGGGACTAAAAGCCCCCCCCCTGCAATGATCAACACTTTAAGATGGCAATGCCAGCGCTGAGGGGCTTCACGCTCCATTACCTTCAAAGAAAGTGATTTAGGAGGTCAAAAAGTACCTCGGCTCCGCAGGACTGTGGCTGTGAACTGAGTCGGGGGGCAAATCTGAATGAAAGTTGAGTGATGATCTCATGTGATAAATAGCTGTGTGCTACTTTTTGAGATTTTGTGCTTGTGGTAGGCAGGGATGGGGAGGGTCATGGAGCTGGAACGGGAGGGAGGGTGAGGACTAATGGTGCCCCCTCCATACAGCAGTGGGGGGAGCTGGGGCGACTAATCATCTCACCCTTTTACAAAACAGATTACAAACCCTTAGGGGAATGTCTATTTCACATTAACTATAGCTGCAGGGTGTTCTCCAAATGTAGCAATCCCACCCAAACAAAGACCCCTGAGGGACTTTGTAGAGTATTATGGCATCCAGGACAATAAAAAGCAGCAATATTGTGCTATTGTTTCATTATTTGATAGTCCTTTGAACAAAAATAACACGTCTATAATCTTATAAGTCTTAGAGCAAATCAGAATCTGGTAAAGGAGGGTGTGTCTTGGGGTGGTTCTGGACAAGAAAGAGTGACACCAAAAGCACAAAACCAACCTTGTAATGTCTGATAGATCCCCCAATATATGCGCAGGCAGTTCTTCTCTTTCTTCATGCCCCTTTTACACCGGCAGTTGTACAGCGGGCTCTGTTTGAGTGCGTCCATGGCGCTTCGGCATTCGTCCTTGGCCTCCAGGCCGGCAACCATACTGAAGTTGCTCTCCTTGCCGCCGGCCACGCACTGCCTCATCGTGCGGTACTTGGTGCTGCACGCCTGCTCCTTCAGGCACTGCTCACTGGCCCTGACACAGTCCAGCCGGGTGGCCCCAGCACGCAGGTTCTCCTCGGCATAAGACAACACATCTGGAAGCAGAAGTGACATTTATAATAATAAATAATAATATAAGTAACAATCTCCTTTGTCGGTTGTTTGTTCACAGTAAATATTCAGATCTTAGCCACTTTGCAAGCTGTTTTCAGGGATTAAATATGACAGATATCAGCATGCAGGCTATCCAGTGACATGAAAAACACATCTGTGACGCCACTAGGATCATTGCATATCCACTTTGATTAAAAGCCGTTTCATACTTGACAACTTTGTGATCCACAGCTATAGTTTACTGGCAGTTCCATCATGCTGAGGAAAACGTGCTTTTACAGTCACTATTGTTGGATTAGGCAGCGACAGCTGATTGTCGTTTGGAAGCAGTTCGGACCACTGTACAGTGGGCTCTTCTCTGCGTTACCCAGAATCAGTGAGCAGCCGCTGTCTCTGCTGGCTCCCCCTTATTACCGTAAGAGACAATTAACCACTAAATGTTGTATGTAGTCTACGTACGTATGGGATGAATTTGTATCAAACGTACTGCTGTTGGTGCTCATAATTAAAGTGAAACTCACCTAAAAGAGGCAGAAGGACATACAGTAACGCGAGGGTCATCGTCTTCCTCTCCATGTGAAACATAAAACCTTGTTGGAACGAAATTTGCGAACTAAAAGCGACTTAACAGTAGTTTAATTCCCAGGGTAATTCCACTGTATTGAAATCCATTGAAAAGACGTAGCCGTGTGCGCTCCGCTGTACAGAACAGATCCAGCACGCCTCATGCGAGAAATAATCTCCCCTGCAAAAAGTGTCCAGTCCCGATTCTGCACAGTTCTCTGACTCTAAGTAGTCTTTACAAAAAAAGAGAAGTGATTCTTTCTTTCCCTCCCGTGCGGGTGGTCTTCTCACCGCCGGGAGACAAAGACAAGGGGATCAGAGCAGCGGTGGAAGCGAAACGGGCGAGTGTCCTCCAACTCCAGCCAGTGGGATGCTTGCGTCTGTGCGTCTGAGCGCACACAGCCAACTGGAGCCCCACTGCTGTCTCGCGCATTCAGCAGCGGGAGAGTGCCAGCTTCCCCCTCGCACTAAAGTACTGTAATCTTATCATACATTTACAAATATATGCCTTCCTATCACAGCAAACTTGTTATGGTAATATTGCAATGGGAGCACAGAAAACACACAATTAGTTTTAAGCTCACTTAACTTTCTAATGAGCACCGGAGACATAAATCCCAGTGGATAGACAATATCACAGGGATAATCATTTTTGAAGGGTTACCATCACTGCTGAGTTGCACACTCACAACAAACCTCTTAGGGTTATTAGTCTTTCTGGTGTTTAATTTGACTAAACTTTCCATCTTACATACTCACACAAGTTAGGCTATAGCCTATATATAGGCCCATGTAGCCTATAGCCATATCACTGTTACAGTCCATTAAAATGCACATCGGCATAGCCAGATAACCACAGATGGCATGTTGTTGCATTTAAGATGTTGAAACCACCACTGTCAACTCTTGATGTGTGTGGGCTGGTTTTACATTTCAGTGTAGCTGTGCTGACAGGAAGAGGGCAAAGAGCACGACTCAAGTGCATTTTTATGGCTTAATATAGCAACTTGCGGAGTAGCTTATATGGCAATTAGTTATATCGGAATCCCCTTCTAAACTGGAGTAGCCTGCCACTCGTCTTGAGTGACAAATGGACATATTTAATGGAGTGAACGTCGCTCACGGAGCCTATTCATGATATTTCAAGCATGTGCCTGGCTCCTCCCTGTTTGCTATAATGTTCATACCATGTGCAACTGAACACAAACAAAGTGTTATGCAACAGTGTACCAAACTACAAAGAGTATAGAGTGTTGATGACACACATCAGGGGTTATGGGCTCTTTTTAAAAACAAACAAAAAACACTTTTCAACAAAAGCAGCCTGACAGCGCAGCGCTGCAGGATAAATCCTGCACACACAGAGGAGAGTGGACACCGTGCGTCTGTCGCCATCTGTTGGCTGTTAAAAGTTATCATACTAAACCCCTTTTGATACTTTTAAAGAATACTACATTTTTCACGCTCGATAGTTTATTTTGGGAGTCAAAAAACCAATAAGAGCATCACACTTCCAAACATCTATTGATTGGTGTATTATCAAATGACTTGAAATCTAACAAACAACGCCTGATTTTAATAACAGGGATGATGCATCATCCGACTTGTAACATTAACTCTTCCTATAGCTCATTGATTGCTTATAGGGTCTATTCAGAGGCTAATCCACTTGGCTAAATACATGGGACCAGACTATGTCAATGAGCCTCTCCCTGCATTATTAAAGACTGGGCCGAATCAATCAAGGATGCACAGTAAATCAACTTTACACACACACAGACAGACAGAGGTGGAGGGGGGAGAGAGCTGGTTCATTCAGAGATTGGATTAAATACCTCATTTGAACGTCAGAGAAAAATCCCTTTTTGAAAAGTAACCTGTGATTAGGTAAGCACGACGAATCACTCCTGCAAGGCAACTTACAGTCACTTTTCAAAATTACTTTCAATTTTGTTAAATAGATATGCCACAGGCCATTGTCCACAGCTATTTCTTTTTATAATAGGCTATGACTTGGGGGGGAAAGACAGAAAGTGTTTCCAAATGAATGACAGGCTCAGGCTTCTATATCTGGGCTAATTGTCTGCTTGCAATTTGATGACTTTGCTGTTCTGTAGTCTCCAAAGGGAGCCTTGCCAGTCAGGGGAACGGCTCAGTCTGGTGATTTATGAAAAGCCTCAATCAATATGCGATATTCATTTTGCAAATGAATGTCACTATGATGTAGTCCTTGGGTCATTTAACGTTTCACACTGTAATGTGCTCCATGGCACCGGATCAGAATGCTTTTTTCCTCCTGTACCAGTGGTGAAAGGAGAAAATTGGTCAAAGTCAGGAATTGTGTGACAAATGTTACTGCAGCGGGTCTCAGTGGATTACTGTTGAGAAAGCGGTCTGTGCAGATACAGCAGTAACACGTTCAACACTCAAGTGGGAGGTGATCAATGACAGTCTAACGTTAACTTAATGTATGACCTAAGGTGACCACTGTTAGCTAACACTGCTTATCAACAGCAGACAGCAATGGAGAATTAAAAAAAAAGAAAAAAGTCAGACGTTAATTTAACCACTTATAACAGAGTTTCCACGTGGATAAGACACGCATGTGATGTGGGAGGTCTGGGTTCGATTCCCACTGCCTGAGCAAACCCTAGTTTGCTCCAGATGCATGCAAACTCTTGACATATATAACAGTAGTATTGTACGGTACAACTTTGGATAAAAGCGTCAGCTAAATGAGTAAATGTACTGCAGCTGACGTTAACTAACGTTACAAATAATATTACTGGTGCTAGCAATTACCGGGACTTGACTAATGTAACTTAGCAGCACCACAACAAGCATTTCCGGCATTTTTTTTTCTGTTTCACAAAACTGCGCATGTCAAAGTAATAAATAAACAAAATAAAATATAATGGTTCATCTTTTATCAGGAGTATAGTCTTATTTGCAATGTAAAAAACAAACAAACAAACAAACAAACCGTTGTCAGGTGCAGGGTAACTTCGTCATTGTTGACAGCTGCATCAAAGGCAACCTTAGCTAGTTAGCTACAGGCGACAAACTATTGTTGGTTAACTTTAACAGTTACAGTAGAATCTATTCCGTAGACTTACAATGAGTTTAGACTCACTCTTTCATCAAATCCTTCTGACTGAACAACAATTAACTGAGCAGACCCAAAAACTCAAAGAAGGTAACGTTAACTGACATTTTCAGCTAGCAAACTAAGCTATAAATATAGCTGTCAGCTAAGTTAACAGTTAGCAGGTTAGCAGTGAAAACAATTACAGTTTGCTGTAACTTATGGACTTTATTTCAGAAGCTTTATTTGTTCTATTTGTTGGGGGTTGTTTTGGTTGTATACTTAAAATATCTGTCTGTCATCTGTAATGTTATCTCTCCTAATGTTGCCTAACCTAGCTTAAGGCAGAGGTTCTCAAACTTTTTCACATCAAGGAGCCCCTAAACTCACACGACTTAGACCACAGACCCCCACAGTTGTTAACTGTGTGTTAATAATAGACCTGAAATCAGATTTTAAGTGGCAAGAATAGAAAGACTGGACAGCAGAGCAGACAGGTGTTGTGTCGAAAAGTGATTGCAGTCCGCGGGAGCGCGCACGCAGCCTGTTAAAGCTGTATCTTTTTAAAGTTAGTATCTTTATGTCTACAGCTGCTTTTATCTGGATCAAACAGACATAACGTGCAAATAAACATCACTTTATGTACGTGGTAATACCAAAGGTATGTCTTTCTGATACTTTAACGTTTCTTTTAATGGAATAATCACAAATGTGGCCAAATAAGTTTTGTTTATAGCATAACCAGGCATGACATTTACGCGATTATCAATAATAGTTTGTTGTCGTTGGAATATTTATTTGGTTGGCCTATATGTCTAATACCCCTGTTTATTTTTGGAAAACAGACTGTAGCCTATAATTAACATGACTGACTGTTGAGTTATAAAATAAAGACATGATCTCTTTTGCAATTATCCTTATGACTCTGCATTATTTTACTTTAACAAATCCAGTTTACCGGTTGAAATACCTTTAAATGGCCAATACAACCCATAACATGCAGTATTCTACTTGCCAGAAAGTGATTGCAGCCTCTACTTATTCACTAAAATGTAGTTTCTACCTCAAAATGTTATATTTGACAGATTACAAAAATGAAATGTCCCCCTTTTTTATTTCATATATAATAACATTATATTTTTTAATCACATACTGACTACCAAAGCAAAAATGTCCCCGGTTTTCATTTCAGAAAACTGGTCATCTTACTGTAACCCCCTCAAGGAGCCTTGAGCCACTTTGAGAATCATTGCTTTAAGAGACTCTTCCCTCTTAACCAACCACATTTCAGCTATCTTAGGGGTGACCAGACATCCCTGTTTTCTGGGGACAGTCCCCGGTTTTGGTGGTCTGACCCCGGAAATGTCCCTGTGGGTTAATCATAGTCTGTATAACGTGTTAACAGACCTGAATCGGATTTTACGTGGCCAGAAAGACTGGAAAGCAGAGCTACTATTTATCTACTTAATTACTGAAAGGTTATTGCTGCCCTGAAATGACTTGATTATATTCATGAGGTTATATTTGACAGATTATAACTCATCTAGTACTTTTTACCTCTTAAAATACCTTTAAATGGCCAATACAACCCATAACATGCAGTATTCTACTTGCCAGAAAGTAATTGCAGCCTCTAATTATTGACTAAAATGTTGTTTCTGCTTCAAAATGACTTGATTTTATTCAGAAAAGTTATATTTGACAGATAAAATCGAAGCTATATCCTTGAAGCAAAAGTGACATTTAAACACTCATTTGTGTTGGGTTGCTCAGTGTTTTTTTTTAAATCTTTTGCTGGTCATTAACAAATCATGCATCTTTATTTCAGTCAAAGTAGCCATCATCAGATGTAATGAGAAGATCAAGAGCGCCACTGAAAGGTATGAAAAGACCAATGAGGAACTTAATAAAAAGGTGAGGCTACATTAAAATGTGCTTTTTCTTTATAATTTCTAGTATAATTATGAAAACATATGTACTGACAAGAGGAGCAGCCATGACACAGTGTGTAAAGTATGCCTACACAGATGTCTTTTGATACAGTATATGATTTGAGCAGGCTGCGATTGAACTGCCAAAAGCATTGTTGTGTAACACAAAATGGTGACCTACAATACACTTTAATAGACGTTTTTAGCAGGTTTATAATATACTTTGATGATTTTATCAAGTTTTAACAGCTTTTGCCATATATTAATGCGATTTATAATTGTTGGAGGTTCTGGTAGGTTGTCACCAATTGCAATACTGTAAATAAGCGATGAAAGTGACTGTCGCCTGTTCAATGGTGCAGGTGATTTATAATAGAACAGCCTGATATTTGCACAGTCTGGTACTCATTTGCATGATGGCATATCATGCAGTTTGACTTTGAACCGTGCCTCTAGATACAGTAAGTGTTCATCTGGGGTTCTTGCACAAGGAACAGTCACTGTGTGTGAAGTACTGGTTAATATTTTACTATTTTGCCTGCGGTGTCAGGAAGGAAATATATAATTTTTTACTGTGTGTCCAATAGGAAACCTTTATAAAAATGAGAGATCATTGGTTGGTTTATATTGTAAATGTGTAACGTTTGTTGTAAAATGTAAAAACAAAGAGATAAGAAAAAATAAGAACAATAACAGTAATAATTGCTTTACCTTGAGGCAGCAGACAGTGGCATTGACACATGAGGTGAAGTAGTGCATATTGGCATATTGATCAGCTGATCTGCTTTATGATTTAAAACACTTAATTTCTCCCATTCATTTCATCAACAGTGCAAACTGCAAGTGCCACTGTAAAATCAATGGCTAATTTCCACCGGATAACATTAGTGAAACCTTTTAGCATGTGTGAGATATGATGTCAAAGGCAGGCTCATTGACCTTTCAGAAATATTGCTAACTTCTTCCTGTGCTTGTAAAAGTGGACATCTGATCAAAAGAGCAAATTGCTAGGTCTAATTTGAAAGGTTGCTCAATACAACACTATATCTGAGTATTATCTGCCTGAGAACACACGGCACGGATACCTTTTCTGTGTACACCATACAGATACGCTGGGTGTGTTTACAGCACAGCGTGTTTACAGCTCTCATTATGTAACACCTTACAGTTTATGAGAGCTGTCTTAAGATAATTACAGTGTTTAGAAAAGTTGGAAGCTGATTGTGCTTACTGAAAATGCACTGTCCTCCTCCACTACCATATAAGAAACAATAAACTCACTTCCTCCTTGACAGCTCGAATAACAGACTAAGAACTGAACTAAACGTCGTGTCTGGGGCATCTTTAAAAAGCATCCTCCATGAATGTACCTTCCTACATAATTTGGCAGTTTTCTTCATCTTCCGATGAAGACACAGGAACTAAACAAGAAAAGTTTGAATGTAAGTGATATATACTGATATGTTGAAAAAGAAACCTAGACGCCCACGTTTTTAAAAGTAGTTAAAAAATGGGTAATTTCTGTTCACCATTCCCCAGTAAGGGTCACAAACGTGTCTACACAGTATACACAGCTGCCCATCTGTGGAATCACTAACATGTCTTTCACATATCAGCAATGTACGTCCCTCTCACTACATCTGTCTGTCAGATTGTGCGTCTTATCGGCCTGCTCATCTATTTCTGCTCCAGGCCCAGCAGTTGTCTGCGATGAGGCTGCAGCATGATCTGATGAAGAAATGTGCAGACCAGATGTCGAAGCAAATTGAAGAGCTGCTCTGCCAGAAGAGCCACCTCGGGGAACGGCTAGTGGGTTGAAGCCTGAATCAATATTTACATTTCATAGCTTATTGGTTACGTGTAACATGAATACCTGGTTAACTTTTATAGTCCAAACTATGTAGATGTACAAATTAACCCCTCAACCACCACCGCCTGAACCTCCTTTGGAAGCTCTTCAGATTTTGTAGTGTCCATTATAAACAAAATATGTAAACCTGCAACTAACAGATATTTGTTTTCATAACCAATTAATTTGTCTATTTCTTTTTTGATTAATCAATTAATCATTTAGGCTATAAAATGTCAAAATCGCCCATTGCAATGTCCCAGAGCCCAAGTTGACATTTTCATATTACTTGTTTCGTCTGAACCTCAAATGTAATCAATGTACAGATATAAAAACATCAAATCCTCACACTTAAAAAAGCAAGAACAAGTGAATGTTTGAGTATTTGTATTAATCAATTATCAGAATGTTTGACGATAAATGTTCTACCAACCAGTTAATAATCAAGAAATTGTTTTAGCTCTTGGCCCACTGAAGTGAGAATAGCCACCGCATTCCTTCAAAGGCTGTCATAGTTGTCAAAAAGTGTTGTGTAGCTGATCCCAGATACACGCTGTTGTGTGAACACAGTCCATGGAAACTCACCCTGTGTCTTTGTGTATGTTTTGAAACACAACCGCATGAAACCGCTCAATGAGCTCATAGTAAGATCATATTTTCTCGATTAATCGATTAGTTGTTTGTTCTATAAAATGTCAGAAAATGGTGAGAAGTGTCAATCAGTCCAAGATAATGTCCTGAATTGTAAAATATTCACATTTAACAAGCTGGAATCATAGACTTTTTACCTGTTTAAAGAAAAACAACGACTCAAGCGAATTAATCGTTTATCAAAATAGTTGGCGATTAATTTTACAGCTCTGCTCTTGACTTTTAAGATTTCATCATACTTTTATCATTAAAATCACTTATAGTAGCAGTAGTAGAGGTCGTTGTAGCATCACAAGAAGCTGTGTTTGTATTATCGTTGGGAGCATTTCACATGATACGTCTTTTCATACCAGGCCAAGATAAAGAGGGAGTCTAAAGAAGAAGAGGAAAACTACCTTCAGGAGATCTCAAGGTTCAACAGTGACTTCAGTCTTCGAGGGAACAGAGAGATAGTGTTCGAGAGCCAAACACACGCTGAGATCCTGGACCTGGAGAGGGAGGTGGAATCATTGTACAAAGGTCTTAAAAGACAGATAATTGGACTGTTTTCACAGAGGTTATATAACACAGATGTGGCCCTGACTGCTCATTTTTTTTAAATATTATTACATTTTTGGTATATTATACAGTACAGGATAAGTGTAGTAAGCAGATGAATTATTAATGACAGGTCTTGTTCACAGCGTAGTAGTCAGCATGATTTCAGGAAGAATCTGAATTTAAATGATGGTGGGTGGAGAATGAAAGTAAAACTGTAGTAATTATATTCACTTCTGAATTGAGTGAAAATTAATAACTGTCTGTACTGTATAATTAATGCAAGGATGTTGTGTGGGTAACAAAATAAGGGGTGCTGGAATGTTTTGGAATAGGCTTTGGAAAGAAAACTGTTTATCACAACGAAAAAATACTAAGAAGTTAAAAAAAATAATGTTTGAAATTCTGTCCATCTGGCCAGTAAGTGTGCTAAAACAAATCAGGAAAATACATTCAAGTCTGGCATGAAGTCAATAATTAATACTGAGTTGATCATTGTATTGGGTTGAAGGTTGGATGCAGGTGTGTGCCAGGTACCTGCTAAATCTATCTTTTCTATCCCAGTGTGTACAGAAATATACACAGAGAAAAAAAAGAAGCATTAACTAACTAACTAAATTCACACATAGCTTAAACCTACTCCTGGATTAAACAGAATAGAGTTATAACTGATAACTATCACCCGAAGGACTGAGAATCTTAACACACAACTAAATACAGTTAGATTTTCTAGATAAAATTCACTTTAGTCCAGGACTCAGTTTGCTGTGTGTTCTCACAAACCAGCCCCAGTCCCTAATTTCATGATGATATTAAGTGCCGCTCACACTAATAACGTCTTGCCTCTGCAGCACTTGCGCCATCACCACCCCACGTTGGGTAGAATGCAGTTTTATGAAGACAATTTTAACATATGGGTAGGAAATCAATGCATAGTGTGTTTAATTTAATCATTACGTTTAACCAATAAATATTATCTAGTGATAATTTGCACAGATATTGCAGTGGCAATGGTTTAAAGTGTAATATATCGATTCCAGCAACTTTTAATGAAAAACAAGTTTTCATTAGTTACACACGAGTGAGGGTATACTGTAGCTCACATAACCGATGAGGACCAGTGTCTTCACATTATTATATCTGGTCTCAAGAGAACAGCATTTTCTGATTGTTTGTACATTTAAAGTGAATTTCAAAAATGCCCACATTGCAGTACTTTTACAAGTTTTCTTTCATTTAGCAGTATAAATTCAATATAAAGTTCTGCCCTCCTGGTGATTTTACTCAGTGATTCTTGGTGCCAAATTAGGATTTTGTCTTTTTTCCCTCTACAATCAGAGATGGAGCTGATGAGCCGCAGCAACAGCCACATGAGCTCCATGCAGGAGGAGAAGAGAGCACTGCAGCTCAAACTACAGGACCTGGATAGCATCCAGAAAGGTGAATACCAAAAGATCCTTTTATGTTAGATAATGTGGTTCTGAAAGAGCACGTGTAAATCTGCTACACTCTTCACACCACCAACTGACAGCTTTTCTTTTTTTGCTTCTGACTCAACACACTTTACAAGCTCCTTTATTGTTTCCTTCACACTGCCAATAGCAGACCATCCATCTTCCAGCTTAATTTGTAACATTATCTGTTAAATCAAAGAGAAAAAGAGAATTCCACCACACTGCTAAGACACTTGTACGGTATCTGGAGCACAGATGTTGAACATTAAGTATGTTAGTTTCTGGCTTCATGACCAGGTTGGAAGGAAGGTCAATGAAGGTGCGAAAGACGCTATTTTAGTTTGTGTCACTCACACATGTAGTATACAGTAAGCATTTTTAGCTCAAGGCTATACAGGTTTAGCTGTGTTGGGAACGAAATAAAGACTGCATTGTTGTGGATGTGTTGCTGCAGGTACAGGGTTTAAATCTGAAATACTTTCCAGGAAGTTCAGTTTGAGTAATAGATCCATAAGTTTAAAGGCTTATCATGGGGCAAAACACAGCACAGTGGTTTATAATACTGTGAGACATCATTTCACTTGATGATTGTGAGGTGAAAAGCATAAAACACTGTACAAGGCAGCATTGTGCGCTTACACCTAATAAAAAGTTGAGCCGTGTTGAACTTTTTTGTCAACTGACCCTGAGACGTGTGGCCCGCTGTCTTCTGGTCTGTGCTCAAAGAGTTGCCTGGAGTTAATAAAAAGGCTGTATTTTGTGACGTAGAGCTCATGTCAGTCGGAACAGAGCATCTCCTTTAACGTTGGGGGGATCCAAAGTTTGTCCCATTGTTTCAGCCACCTCAGCAAAAGTCTTAACAATGCAGCTACAGTGTGTGTCTGTCCTGTTTGCGGAAAGTCATTTTGTGTTTGATTCATTACTCTTGACAACAGACCTGGATCGGCAGTTCGCTGAGGCTGAAGCAATGACAGAGACTCTGAGAGCGGAGAGGCTGTTTGTCAGTCAGAAACCTCTCACTGACAGCACCTGTCTGAGGTGAGTGTCATCAACTGTCAGGATGCTGAGGGAGGTTTATATATTTGGACACACAGACACAGTACCTGCCTTACTTGCAGTTACATTATGTCACAGAACATAATCATTATGACACACAAAAGAGTAACGTAAATACTGCAGGGAAATACATGCGAATAAAACACAAACGAGCAAAAGAGAACAAAACAAAATGTAAACACAGCAGTAAGCTCTTTAGCAGCACATAAAACACGTTATTTCACAGAGCTTCCTGTTATTTTAAATATCCTTGGTGAGCAGCTATGATATGTAATTAGTTGAGCGTTTGTTTTTCTGGTGAGAGTCGGTTTACAAAAGTGCAGTCACTGTCCTCTCCTCACCAGAGTTCTGTGTTTTTATATAGTATAAGCTCAGTATAAAATTCATCTCGGTAAAAGCACTAATAACCATGGTCACTCTTGTGATGCTAAATGCACTTAGAAAAAGACAGGAGAATCACACTCTCAACGACACAACGCAGCATCCCGCAAGCCCATTAGATGGAAGTGTTATTAACAAAGAGCAGAAATGGATCTTTTTATTTATTTATTTAATTTAATTGAGAATAGGCAGCAGCATAAATAACACAGGAGCAGACAAACATAAAACAATTTAAAATGAAAACAAAGAAACTGCACAATAATAAGATTTCAAAGCATTCAAAACATCTACAGCAAGACGTAGCTGAGCCAAGAAATTTCACTCACGAGTCCACTGAGACTGTGTTGGACTCCCACTGTGAGAAGTGCTGAATAGACCGGTAAGCCCAGCTCACGTCTCTGTTTCTCGCTCTGTTTCCTGCTGGCCCGACTCCAAATCTAGAAGTGTAAATAACAGAGCATTAAGACCATTTGGCTTAATTAAGGCTTTGATCTGCAGTGTATTTCATTCAGTCAACAAGTGGGAAAAAGAAACTGAGGCTAATGTGATTGATACGGGGAGCTTTATAAGGGGAAATGAATGAGGTGCGGACAATTAAGCGGTTACACTGAATGCTTATCCAGCAACTTACCAGCAAATAAATACAGTTTGATTTTAGTGGAATCATACATCATGTGTTAACTGGAAAAATTCAACTTTTATATGTAAACTAGCAAATGGAGCAACCCAAACATCATTTTACAATATTAAATATACAATATTAGGAAACATAAGTAGTACAGTATATGTATTTAATTAGATATACAGTACATATGGAATTTCCATAAAAAACTTGAATTAACAATGGTAAGAGGCAGCTGTGTGTGCGTGTCACAAAATGAAGAGCAATACATAGAGAAACACCATCAAATAAGACAGATGGATAGCAGTAGTCAGCTTATTTTTGGAGCTCTAGAGAAAACAGATATGTGAAGCCGGTGCACACTGAAAGTGTGAAAATGTAATAGTTGACGCTTTGTGAGTTTCAACTCACAGGGAACTTTTATTCAGGTTCCTCTGTTTCCAATTTAAACTGTGAAATTAAGTATATATAGTTCATTATATGTTTTTTCTATTCAGTGGTGACAATTACTGGGGCACATTGTTCATTTTACTGTTTTACGTTAGTATCTGCACTCTCCCTTGTTCCTGTTGTTTTATTTGGAGTTTTCTTTTCTGAAGTGCAAATGATACTGTCAGCGCCTGCATAGCTGTGGGATACACTGGGCTATAGTCTTTCTCGGGAAGTCTGAACATGTTGTTTTATGCCTTTTGAATTGGTCTGTAAAGTCCTGTTAGATCAATCGTCTTAGTAAGGTTCTCCAAAACAACTTCAGGGTTTCTTGGCATAGATTCTCAGACGTAGTCTCTGAAGCTCTTCTGGAGGGATGAACACCGTTCCTCCAAAAGATAATCCCTTGTTTGGTGATTTATTGATGGTGGTGGAGAGCACTGTCTCTGTCCAAAATCTCCTCTAGTGTTCAATCGGGCTGGGATCTATCGCCTGTGAAGGCCATAGCATAGCATAGATTCACATAATGTTCGTTCTCATCAAACCATTCAGTGACCCCTCGTGTCCTACAATATATGGAAACATCTGTATTAGTTATGCATGTCCACAAATTGATTTCAAATTTAATTAAATTGTTACCCATCGTTATGGGTAAACACTCACATGTTTCTTATCTCCTTAGATTCAGGCATCCAAACATTGAACAATGGGCACAAATAAAATACAACAGCAAGACAACTGCCTGCTCATCACAGTAGAATATGAACCATAGTTCCTTCCTTTGCTGAAACATGACTGCTAGAAGAGTGCTGGTCCACCTTGTTTCTTCACAAAGAGACTTCCTTTATTTAATTAAAGACCGGAGATCAATACTGTTCCAGGAAGGAAGGGTCATTGTTATTGCTGATGCCGCTACTTTGGGTAATGTCTTCTCCACAATACTATGATTGTGAAGTGATTGACAAATCCTCAAACCTATCTGGAGTTTTTTTTAAATCAAAGTATAACTCCTTTCAAATCAGATTTGTTCCAGTACTTCATTAAAGGTGTTCTCATCGTGCCTGTTATTAGGACGAGGTACAAAACAGGCTGAACATGCTGTAGTTCTTGCTTTCATTTTCATCTGTTTGTTTTGCTCAACCTCATTTATTTTTCTCTGCCCCATGTTCCTTTTTCTGAGCCCTCCGCCCTCTCCCGGCATTGCATTAAATCATGCATGTGAGTAGCATGTCCCTGTTCATCCATCAGCATCATTAAACATACTGGGTCCTTCATTATCCCCGGACTTATTAGCCTCAGGAAGTGCTGAGGATGTGGCTTTGGAAGAGAGAGGCCTCCTCTCAGTCGTTCTTATGATCATCCATTCTGAACTGAAACCATCAATCCTGTCTTCAGCCACTGCAGCGTCTCTTTAAAACGCATATTTAACTCTCCTCTCATTGATTGTTGGAAATTGAATGCATGTCAATTTGAACGAGTGCTACAGTCATTTAAAAAGTGTTCAGTGTGCAAAACAGGGTGGCTTCTGCTGTAGATCGTTCACTGTCACACATAGGAAGATACCTGAAATATTCTTTCAGTGTGCTTGAGATCGATAATTTAGGAATTATATGTATATTCTGATGTGTAGGATTTTCTTAATTGATATATTAGTGCTAATTATTTGTGAAGGCTCAGTTTAAGATGTCATTGTACTGCGTAAATCTAATATTAAACTGCAGAAACCACCAATATCCAAAACGCCGTCCTGAGTGTCTTGGAGTTGGAAACATAATTCTACTGTTTGAAAAACAGTATGCTTGCCTCAAAAATCTGATTTCTAAGTTCCACAGAGAAGTGTAAACTTTAAAACACTGCTGTTGGTTTTTAGACTGTGAAAATGCAATTGTAGCTCAGTAGTTTTTTTTTCTTTCATTAACTTTCAATAAAAGAAGGTAGCTTGCTTCAGTTCATGTGTGGCTCAGTATAGAACCTTCAAACACCTGCCATAACAGTTAAATCACAGCCAAGGCATCGAGTACCACGGCCCAAAGTCCACTGCTTTTCCCAGAGGCAAACTGAACTGAGTAATACAATTGTATGTATGAAATATTTACTTTGCTAAGAGCGGACTGCTTTTAAAGACAGAATGAGGTTTTAGTCTGTCACAAAGGGACAGCAGTCTTGCAGCAGTTTTGGTTGATGCTTCCCTCTGCAGCCACATACCTGAACGCTACCAACCGGCCTTTGAGGTTTGCTCCAGTTGGGTGATTTTAATGTGAGAGACATTTCTAAACTTTGATTTATTGATGCCAATTCACTCTATGCTTAGTCATTTGTCTTTTGGGGCCTTCCGTATACCGTCACCCCTGTGCAGTGCACCCCTAGGGGAAAGTTTATTAAATACACAATAACAAGGACCTGACAACACTGACTGCAGTGTGTTCGAGCAGGACTGCAGGTCGTTTTTTCACACACACACTGATTTTGAAATCTTTGCATGAACACAGCAGGGTTGCTCCTCAAACTGTTAATTTTATCGTGGACAGTAGTTAGCCTCTGTCTGGGTTTCTTCTGCTGTTTAGATTTAGCAGGCGCACCACAAAGGCTACATAGTGATATAAGGGATGGAAAGCTGCATGTTTGAAGAAGATCCACATGTCAAGTTTCACTAAACATCATAAATTCCATTTTTCCTGTTAGCTTGTAGTCGTAAAGCATTCTGGATAATAAGTCAACTGTCAAAGAACGGATAGATTTTGCCTGCTGTGGAAGTCGGGGTAAAGTTAAAACTGTAAACATCTTAGTGAAGTTGTTGTTGTGCATGTAAACAAACTGAAACTCTGTAATGCCATGGGAACTCTGGGTAAATCTCTTTAAATAGAAACCAACTATTATCTCAATCTGGGTATTTACAAGAGTTGGGATATATCGTGCATGAGTGGTCTATGTCACTATAATCATGAATACCAATGTGAAAAGCAGTTTCATGTAGTACATTTGGTTTTGTTTATTTTCTCAGTGATAAAACACAATAACATGGTGACACCAAGTATAGTGATAGAAAGAAAACACATAAATAGGTTTAAACTCAACATTTAAAACTAAAAATGCTGATGCTTCTTTTTACAAGTTGCCTCTTTCATAATTCCTTTTCTTCCACCACACTTTCAGTTACTGACATGGGTTTCATTTGTTTACCAGGCTGAGGAAGGAGCTGGAGACGCATAAAGAAGGCGAACTCGAGCTTCTGAGAGAGGCGCTCAGCTCGGAAATACAGTTCCTGAAGTCAGTAAGTTACCGTGTCGTGAGCAAGGGTTATTCAGGCTAATACAAAGTATTTTAGAAAAGACAGAGTCATTCATATCCCACAAGAATCAGACAGGATTACTTGCATGTCCAAATAATATCTGCCAAGTCTAGCTAAGGGGTGGAAAGGGAAGTTTAAAACTCATTCATGTCCATCTGCATTCTTAACTGGGTTCTTTGTAGACTTTCATTCAGTTGTTCAATTCTTTTATTTTCTATTTTCAGAAGCTGGACAGCAGCCAGGGAAGAAAGCAGCATTAGTTTTGGCACAGTGATGATACAGGAAGGTTACATTATTCATTGATCATCTCTTCTGTTAAAAAACATACATGCTGATGAATAGACGGGAGCGAAAGGCTTGAAAGAAGTCAGGAAGGAAACAAAGGGAGGGACGTGTGTGTGTGTGTGTTCTTTAATATTTACCTAAAAAGTTACATGAAAAGAGCAAATTTCGTTCTGGGAGTCTTGTTAACAAAATGTTAGTGTTGACACTTGTAAACTGTTAGTGGAAAAGCTGATACAAAATAGACATACAATATCACAATTGATAAATCTTTTAAGTGAAATATTTTTTTTCTTTTACATTTCATTTTCAAGCTATACACTGCAGGTCTGTTTTTACCTTCAAGTAGTTGTTTTAATGAGAAAATGTAAGCTTTTTATTCTAATTTAGTTGCTCAGGACAAACAACTAAGCTCATACACATGCCTTGTGAACAGAATGACATGTGCGTCATCCCTTGCAAATAAAGGAGGCATTCAAAAAGTGATTTAATACTGCCCTCTAGTGTACAAAGAGTAACATTGCTATAATGGGGGTTGAGTCAAAACAGATGCTTAGAGACTGAATTAGCATTGAACAGCATGTAATTCAATCACTGACATTGGAATAATGCAATAAAATAAAAGCACTTACTTACTTTCACTGCTGCAGTTATTCTGTCCAGAGAATATAACACTATTTGGCCAAAAGTATGTGGACACCAAAGCACATATATTCATTTATTGTACGTTATTCCAAAAACACATGGGTATTAATATGCTGATGTATATGGTGTTCTGGGAACTTGGCCGCAGGGATCCATCCCAATGCGGTCTGATACAGTGGAGGTCCGGGCTCTGTGCCGGCCAGTCAAGTTCTTCCTCATCAAACTGGAAAAAGCGGGGTTGTTTATGAACCCAGTCATGTTTAAACAGGAAAAGGCCTGCCCCAGACTGTTGCCACAAACATAGAAGCTCAATCTTGTCGAAAATATAATTGTCTGCTCCTTAGTTGATGTGAATTAAGTTGTAGCCTGTCCTCTTCCAGGTCTCCATGGTGGAGAGGAGGTCTTGTGGCTCAGGTCAAGTTTGGCTAAGCGTTTTTGCGGATCCATTCTTCATAGATATTACAATCTATTCTACTCTGTACACGTGTTTGTATGTCTGTCCATCCTGGGACAGGGATCCTTCTTCCGTTTTTCCACGTTAAAGGTTTTTTTGGGGTATTTTCTTCCTTATCCGAATCGAGGGTCTAAGGATAAAGGGTGTGCTGTGCAGATTGTAAAGCCCCCTTAAGCAAATTTGTAATATTGGGCTGTATAAATAAAATTGACTGGACTTGACAATACTCACACTTGTTTTGTTTATATGTGAGTCAGTTACCAAGAAAAGCCCACCTTACCACTGCTCATCCCTCAGCCCACAGACGGTTATTTCCGTAATTGATGATTAGACAGTCTGTCGGCCTACACCAGAGGGTCATTCTGCGGGTCATTTTCTCCCTGATTAGAGTGATTCCTAATAGAATGATGTGGAATGTCAATGGCTACCTAATGAGATCCTGCAATCTCATTTTGACTTTTTAACCTTGATCTCAGTGAGCTACGTCTGGATGTGTTAGCAAAACCGAGAGCAGACAGAACAGGAGTCCATTTGGCGGAGTAGTTAACCTCATTTCAACTGCTGCTCTCGTCGAGACCTCGCCATCAAGCACATAAACAATGAGTGACTATTAACAAAATGAAGTCAGAAGGAAAGCGGAGAAGATGGCAACCAGAACACTTGAAGCTGAATCCCTCCTTTTATGGAAATGCAATGATCCAGGCGTTTATCTTCAGAGAAATCCCCTTTAATACAAAGTGTTCGTGATTGAGTCATAGACTGTAGTACAGTCGCTGCCTCGCTGAAACAATACGGTTGTGTTTGCCGTGTTTAGGTTCACGTCATTTCCCACCAATGACTGGACCGTGGGGAAATTCCCCGGGATAGCGAATGTAGGGTTACTTAGACGAGTAATCCTCAATTTACGTTTTATTTTTCAGCTAAGGTGCATCCATGTAGCTTCTAACTAAATATATAAAGTAAAATCGGTCATTACAGGAGAGATCAAAATCTTGGGTCCTGCTTTTTCAAAAGGAAACGAGTCAGTGTCCTAAAATTGCCTTACCCTCAGACCCCATTAGTGGCAAAGGAATAGCAAACATGGCTGGAGCATGCAGTAAAAAGTCGGACACTGCTAAAGCTGCACTGCAGGAAAAATGGTAAACTGCATGTAACACTAAACTGAGTGTGTATAAATGCTAACAACCATTCAAGTACAGGAACACTTTTATTTTTGTGAAGTTAGTTTAACTTTCATACAGATTTGAACTGTTTCCACTTGCAAATACTTCATTTCTTGCTGCAACACCTCTGTCGATGCATTTTTCCACACTTGTTTCTACCTCTTGGTCATCCACATACAAGACAGGCATACTCTGGCTCTCCTTGTATGCCTTGATTCTTCAGCTCATTGGTAAAAACTTCCATGGTGCTGTTCTGCAGTTGGCTGCTGCTCTTGGTCGTCAGGCAGTCCTGATCTTTAGGAAAATACGCTGTCTGTGCTCCTGAAACTTGAATAGATTCTTCTAGAAACAGAGAGTAGGAAAAGTTTAACTTCACAACTTAACATAAAGTGCCATGGTATAAATATATAATGTCAGTTTCCTTGTACAGACAGTTTAAGACTTTAAAAAGTAATAAAACGTAGCCACACTGAATAAGTACTTTAGGTCCTGCTTTGGACTTATCAGCAAAAAGTTATTAGATGCAACTCATATTAGTTAAGAAAACACAGCCTTACTGTTGCACACAGCCAGCTTGTTTCCTCCCACGTACTGGGTATCCCATTTATGTCCTGTCTGCTGGCTGCATTCATCATACAAACGACTCCTCCTGATAAAACCAAAATCGTAACCCTGTGAAAGAAGACTTGCATTACACTACTCATCCTTTTTGTCATTGTCGCACTGAAATATGTACTTATTATGACATGTTTTTATTAATATATGTTAAATTGTATGTACCACTTACATGGTTGCACATAGGTTTGCAGTAGCGCTTGTTGGCAACTGTGAGACACGCCAAACCTCCATTTTCTGGAACTTCGGCTACAGGGCATTCCTTCGGCTCAGCATCTTGACATTCTATAAATGACTGATTATTTTATAAACGAGGAATATAAAACATTTCAACAGATGTCCATTTTGGGTGTATATATCGTTTCTTGTTTCTTTTGTCATCTAGTTATTGTTCGGGCCTAAGCCCTACACTTTACTGACTGTTCTGTTAAACACCAGAGAAATCCACATTCAATTTGATGAAATCTAGAACTGCTGGAACGGAGCGTGTTTTTTATTCAGTAGGCTAAATGTCAGGCTTATATGAAAAACCACTTCAGCATTTACCACCTGCAAGAGTCCATCAGCAGAAATGACACCACAACACTTAAGCTCAATCAACGACAAGAGCAACGTCAATAGACAGCAGTCGTTCTGTTTGCCAGGCAGAGTTCACTTAATTCAGTGCGCTTTAACAAATGTGATAAATGCGGTTTACCTTACTGCTCTTCATGAGCACTCTGACTTCCATCGTAGTCAGTGCAATGTACTTAAATATTTACTACTACTTTTAGGTTTCTATAACATTGAAGTGCAGTACAGTCTAATATTATTGATAGAGGAGCATCAACAAACCTATCCCTGATTGATTGGAACTGACCATGGCAAATTAGTATTTTAAATTTTTATTGTTTCTATGTCCAGATCAGGGACATCGGCAGGTACCTCTTGTGTGATTGAAACCGAACTGTTATCAATATGTTGATTTTCTAGCATAATGCATCCTTGTGAGGGAGGGGAAATTGGCGTGTGTTATGTAAAATCATAACCAGAAATTAACATATCATATCATATATACCAGAAATAGAGCAATAGATTCTGTTAAGATGAAGAAACATGTATTGTATTTGCCACCCTCAAACTTTCCTCTGTACCCCTTCAACAGGAAGCACTGCAACCTCCTGCCTTAACCCAGCCCTAACCCTCACCTCAATCTGAGCTTCATTCTAACATTAATCCTAAAGCCAACACCCCAGACGGCCCTTTGAAGACGTGAGAACCAGACAAAATGTCTTCACACTCAAGGTCTAAAACTGTAACTGGTCACTCAGATGAAACAACAGGAACACACATGTCTCTGGCTCACCCTCCTACCTTTCAGCTGGTGCTTGTGCAGAGCATCACTCAGATCCCTCGTGGAGAACAGTAGTGCAGCGGTCTGCTGTGCACTCAGATTTTCAACACACTGTGCCGCCACCTGTTGGTGAATATCAGACAGTACAGTTGTTTTGAGAGTGGCATGAAAAGGAAAAATTTTAAAAGAATTAAAAATATCAGCCGCAAGGTTAATGATTTTGTTTGTTTTCTTCGATAAACACAACGTGAGCTTCATTAATGTGCATGTTACAGCAGCTTTTCTGGTAGGACGAACATTAACAGTTTACCTGAGATCAGCTGGTAGACGTTCAATGACCTGAGTTTGCAAGTTGCAATTCTGTAGTAAAGTTTCATCCTGCGCTGCAGAGAAGGACAAAGCTGCAAGCAAACATACACACACACTGCATATAATATCCAACCTTTCCAACCATCCATCCTTTTTTTCATATATAGTCCACATAGTTCACATCTATGTTCATGATCTCCATTACAGACACATTAAAACCATGAGATTACCTGCTAGTGAGCAAAGCCAAGTAAGTGTTCCCTTTAATGCCATGGCTGCTGAATCTGAATCCTCTCTTTTTTGACCCAGAACTGAAGGCAGAAAACTGTGACAGGTGAATTTATTGAGTCAGTCTGTGGGGGCAAGGTTTACAGAATTGGTCAATACTGTGGCCTGCAGCCAAGATTGAGTCCCTGAATTTCCAACATTTCACAAACTCTGCAGAGGTATCACGAGGCTCTGTGTACAATTCAATTTGATTTGCTTTGCAACTGACTTACAGATATATCCAGAAGTTGTTGTTCTGGTTTCTCTAATAATTAGTTGTTGTTCTACTAGGTATATAAGTGGCCAGGTCTCTTGAAAAACAGATTTTAATCTCAGTGAGACTTTTACCTGATTAAACAAAGGATATGTACTGTATGTCCCAGCTTTGTGCTGATGGGGGAGCTGGTAGTACAGACAAACTGACGTAAATAGCCATTGTACTGTTTGTCTTCATGCAGGATGCCACTACTACTTCTTAGTTATGCACCCATTATGTTGCCAAATGTTGGTGTGAAATCTACACACACACACACACACACACACACACACACAGAACAGGCCATCAGACACACTATATGACTCAGTGTCAGTCAGTAAGTTGTGCCACGAAGGATGACTGTGTAAATAATTCACTGTGGATGTTATTCATTATGAATGTCTGACAATCTGGGAGCAAATGAATTATTGAAGCTTTTAGGAAGAGTGATTGAGCTCATTAACATAGAGAATTGCCTTTTTATGTTTGATTTGAGGAACAAAGATTAGTCCTCGAAATGTTCCTCGAGGGCTGTCATTATCTTCTTGTACTCTCACATGCTTCAATTCTTCACTGTTTTTTAAGTCTGGAATTCTTCTCTTGTGATCAAAGACAAAATAGAAAGTAAAGATTCCTTTAATGTCAGATGATACGCTATCCACAAATCCATGAATGAATTCAAAAACACAGTGAAATAATAAATTAATCAAAGCTTAAATCCATAACGTTCGGCATGTTGCGTTGGTTCAGAGGACTAGATGGCTGAGTTGTCGTGGAAACTTGCTGTTCATTTGCATCAGCTTTGTAAACTTTGGGAAGAGCAGCAGCTAGTGAAGTTTGAAAGCCCCAGTTTATGCATGTAATCATTTTGATGAATAAAGCCATGGTGTGAAAACCTCTTCAAACATAAAAATACAAGGCCGCAGAAGATTCTCAGATATAGCAGTGTGAGTAATTGTAACTGCTGCTTGATAATGTTACCAGTCACCACGTGGTTTTGTATTCCTACTGGATGCATGACTCCCTGCCGTTCTTTGACGTTCTTCATCAGTTAGCATGTTAGCTCCCTCTGTGATCTCTCACTGTTTCAAAACGGCTTTACTGATCTTACAGCATCTGGTTAAAGGAGAACTCCACCGAAAACACGTGTAAAGTCTTTTGTGGCTCCAGAGGGAGCTGTGTGAAGTCTGCTCAAGTCCTCAAGTGAGGTCACTCGACAGTCTCTGGCCCAATCCCAACGTCCACACTCACAGACTCACAGACTTTGAGGCGCGTTCCCGGTAAGTCCGAGAGGTCTTAGGGCTGTCCCACTGTCAAACCTTTAAGTGCACGGGGGCTAGTCCACATTTCTGCAGACTTTACCTGAGGGAATTTCCCAAAGTTAATTGCGTTGTGACGTGAAACACTGGGGGGTTACCAGGGGACTCCCGGAAGCGAGAGAAATATCACTGCAAATCTGCCTGAAGAAGAACAGTAAACAAACAAGCATGAAAACCAACGCTGATGTGAAAATTGTTAGAATTTTTCTTAACAAAGATTTAAGATGGTAAATAGAGCACATGAAGTCAGAGGAATGCAATCACCTTATTACACACTTAGTTTATTCAACTATTTATTTTAGTTTTTGCTTAATGATGCTGTTTTCACCAATAGCACACTGATTATCGAAAAATGTAGATTTACATTTACAAGAGCCTGCAATACCTAAAAATCAGGCAAAAACATCAAATAAGAAGTATGCAACGTGTTTAAGCGTCGTCAAGGTAACGTGATAATGTGGCAAAGTGGTGTCCCGTTCATGTCTACAGCATTTTGAGCCCTTGCAACCTCAATCACTTTCCAAGTGGCATCAGTAAAGTCCGTGAGGGCTTAGGGCTTAGGGGGGACATTGGGATTGGTATACAAATGGACACACTCACTAATCACACATAGGTACATTCAAACAGTGGGAAATCTACCTTGATACCTGCACATATACTTAGACACTGTGCACACCAATACAGAGCCAGACACGCACCTACAGAAGCCCTTTGTGACTGTGTTGTATAAAAGTGATGATGAATGGCGTGTATGATAGCAACACACTCTCCTCTCTGTCTAACCTTTTCCAAATACTCGTGACATTCTCCCCGCGGCGCTCCTTGTCTACCTCCCTCACAGGCATTGTGCTGAATTAGCCAGCCGTGGAAAATGGCTACTCTGTTGTCAAATGATTCACATGGATGAGTTGCAGAGAGCCGAGCAGTCGGAAGCTAATTGGTATTCAGGAAGACGCCGTGCTACCTGTTTCAAAGACTTTTCCTTTTTGGGAGTATCACTGTGCCTGCGGGGGAAAGTTTGAACACAATTGCGGCTGATGAATAGCTAATAACATCTATTAGCTCATTTTAATTACCCCTTTGCTTTTATCACAAGGCTGCTTTATTTTCTAAACACACTGAAGCTGCAGCAGTTCCAGATCATTTTAAAGGTGCAGCACACCGCCCTGTAAGAGCTTTTGTGAGATTAACGTGCAAATGCCTTTAGAAGCAAGGGTTTAACACGGATATTCAACCCTGAGCTTGTAAAGATACAGCCAGACTGATCTTGTCAGTTGAAAAAGGCTTTTCTGTCTAAACAAAAATCAAAGGGGAAGGAGAAACAAGTAGGTTACAGGGCAGCTAAAAGTGGGCCTGATAACTCCAGCTGTGCCTTATCAAACATTTTGAAGCACAGCAGGAGGCTCCAAAAAGAGGCTTTCTTCTCCCTGTCTCGCTAATCTCGTACACTAATTAACAAACTATTATAGTGACAGAAACGTCTGCTGGTGAGATGAGAACATTCAATGAAAAGTGTGAATATAATATTTGACTGACAGCTCCTACTTTTTTTCACTCTCTATTCTTTAGTGTACACAAATTAGTCGAATGTCAGGGAGGCGCCACTTACAGTACAGAGAAATTGCAGGAGGAAAGAACATTTTTATTGAAAGACCATCTTCACTCTCACTGCTTTCTTAATGGATCCCACTGAGTGAGCCGGGGTGACGGGTTGACACAGTCACTTAGTCATCCAGTATGCCGGTCAGTCAAATGAACAGGCAGACTGCTCAACACCTACAGGAATGAAGAGAACATCCACGCACTGAAGCAACAGCCCAGAACACACAACAGATGGAGGAAACTATTAATTTATCAAATATTTATAAGATGCAAATGTGAATAAAAAATGATGGTGCTGTCCCCGAACACCTGTTTCCCTGCTGGCTTACTGAGATCTTGTTTACCACCTGTCTTCTTACACACTTTCCCCCTTCCTGAACACCAGCATGCCTGTGAGTTATGAGTACAGCTTGTTGGCTGGCTTTCATGCATGCTACATACTTCTTTTCCAGTAAACACACCCGTTTACTCTTTGCCTTTCTGTCTGTGTTCCTTTTTGCCAGCTACTTAATGTAAATGCCTCTTTGCTCCTGCTTCCGGTCTCTTTGCTTATCTCCTGTTTTCTTACCTGGCTCCCACTAACATCAAAAGTCACAACCTAATTGGCTGTTAGTATGCTAATGACTGCCTATGCATGTACTTCTTTACTTATTGCATGAGCTTTATGCCATTTTGAGAAGCAGCTCACCATTACCTGTTAGTTTTCTACAAACTGTGTTCAGATGCAGCTTTTCTGCATTAGTGATTTATGGGCGAATGCAGGAAGTAGTGTCATGTTCATTTATACAATAGTATAGCTACATTGAACTATGATATTGCGCTGTTTTGTATTGTTTCTTGCTGTTCATTTGGAAATGTTAATTTTTAGGAGGCACTGATAAACTTATTTTGGCATTTGGTATCAGGACCTCTTGTCTTTGTATTTAATCCGATCACAATTTTTCTATATTTATCCAAATTATTATTAACGTCCATCCTTATTTTTAGTATTTTAAGAATCAAAAAGCAAATCCAGTTGCATGTGACCTAGTGACTCTATATTTCCTGCTGTCCTCCCACTTACTGAGAATCTTTATAGACATACATTAATCCCATTTAATGTGCAAATAATGTAGGATTAACAAATTGAAAAACAATTCAGAAACATAATAAGAACTCAGTACGATGCCAACGTGTAAAAACAAACAAAAAGTAGTTTTCTAATGCAAAATTGGTGCACATTAACAGGATAAGGATCTTTTATTGTCAGTCTAGAACATGAAAGGGAATAAAATGAGGTACTTAGGTCCCGGTGCAGGTAATAGCTATCTGTCCATCTATAAATGGTTTTCCATTCTTACTGTTTGGCTTCCCGACTGACAGTTGCATATTGGCACTGTGGTGAAGATTTGAAGCAGGAACTCCAACAACATAAAAGAAAGCCTGATGTATCATCCAGAGGGGATCCGTGTGGTGGGGATACGCTCTGTAGCATCACGACAGAAGGGCACACAGAAAGAGCAAGAGTTCATTGTTCATGTCTTTAAAGGGTTAGCACTGCTGCCAAAAGCTGACAGGAGGCCAAAAACCTGGTGCCAGTTTCTTTCTCTCAAGAACAAAAGCGCCAGCATGAAAGCTTTTTTAAAATGGTGCGAGAGCATGCTTTGTTAGCAATCGGTACAGTGTTTACTGAGGATCCCAGAACTTTTCTTTTAAACACGTGTTTGTTTTGAAAGGAAGAATCGGCGTTGACTTTTCTTGACTTAAGTGTGTGCATGGTGGTGATGTATGAAACACAGGCTAACTTAAGATTAAGAACCTGTGACGCAGTGGTAGCCTTGATACGTTAACATTCCTATAAACATCAACAAAGGATACAAGAATCTTTAGGAGGGGACTGGATTTCATTTGGTTTCTTGTGGAGAATGATGATAA